TTCATTTGATTCACAACCTTAACAACTTCGACCCGAGCAGCATTCCTGCGTGGTTATGTTCACCGACTCTTTTTACAATTTTGTCATGACGAGTATGCAAACGTGCCCGACATACAAGATTTTGATATTGATCACATTTCCAGAAAGTTTTTTCTTCTGTAGCCGCATCTTTTACGAACAAGTGACCTGAGTCAATTAATTTTCTTTTTCTTTTTTCACTGTACACGAATTCTAGTGACATTTTTACACAAAGATTAGCGAATCGTGATGCAAAAACTACTTCCTCATTTCTGACACACTTCACATACAGTATTTTATTATAGACTTTTACTTAACTTACTCAGACACGTCCGACGTCCGCGGTCCACCTTTGTATATATTTTCTATTTTATATACCATACTAAGGGTATACAAATGATAGTATTAATAAGCATGGATGCTATACGTTGCCTATTGATATAACCTCCAATACAGTATAATTTGTATATTATACGTATATATTATATACGTTATATGTTATATACGATATATACGATGAATTTCACTCCATGGTGAATTTTACCCCACCACGATGAATTTTTCCACGATGAATTTTACCCCACGATGAATTTTTCCACGATGAATTTTCCACGATGAATTTTACCCAACGATGAATTTTACCCCACGATGAATTTTCCCGCGATGAATTTTCCACGATAAATTTTCCCACGATGAATTTTCCACGATGAATTTTCCGTAAACCTATATGGCCATGTTAAAATTGATCTGGTAACTGAGTGGGTGAATGAATGAATAAATGAATGAATGAATGAATGAATGAACGAACGAACGAACGAACGAACGAATGAATGAATGAATGAACGAAACGTTTTTTTTACAATGAACAGAAATTAATAGATGGAAAAATTAAAGATGGAAAAAAATTTCAGTTTACTGCTACATGAAATTTTTACTGTTTTTTAACACAATAAACCCAATAAATAATATGTTATTCATTCATTCAGTCGGTCATTCATTCATTCATTCATTCATTCATTCATTTGTTCGTTCGTTCTTTCGTTCGTTCGTTCGTTCATTTATTCATCCATTCACTCATTCCACAAACTATTGCTCAACTATTTAAAAATTAAAACCCTAACCCTAACCTAAAAACTCTCCAGCAAAGCTGACACACGCGCCTAAATGTCGCCAAAACATGATACGTTTGACAGGCCATTGCAGTTGATTAATTAATGAAATGCAGGCGTCTGTGTACTGTCCAAGCCTTGAAACTCATATAAATAAACATCTCTCAAATTGAAATTTCAAACTTTATTTTAAATTGAAAATTCATTTTCAAATTGAAAACATTCTTCTAAATTTTGAAAAAAAAAGAACTCAAAGATCTTAGTGCTCATGGCCCTGATGGTCTGCCTCACTTCTGCCTTTGTATTTCCAAGAGATGAAGCGGAAAGAGAGGTTTATCTAATTACTTATTTTATTTATTAAATTTACATAATTATTTAATTACTCTTATTAAATAATTAAATAATTGTACCTACGCATCATTAACATTATATTTGTAGGCGTCTCAAGGTGTTAAAATTGTTAAAATTAATTTTTTCGAAAGGCCAGAAGAAATGAAGAGAAAGATTTTGAAGATTTCTTTGACAAACGCATGGTGTGTTTATTCATTCATTTGCTTATTTATTTGTTTGTGTTTTTTTTTCTTTCATTCGCTCATTCATTCATTCTTTCATTCATTAACTCATTCAATCAATCATTCAATTATCGATACTGATTGAATTCAGTTGTTGAAAAAGATTTATTAAACCCACTTCAAATTAACAAGTCGACTAAATGCCAAATTTTAATATAATTTTGTTTTAATTTTGAAATTAACTATATGACAAAATTTTTTCATAGTTTGAAGGCGAAACTGAAATGGTGAAGAAAGAAGCTGATGATTTCTATGAGAAGCGCTCGGTTTGAATATTATTCGTTCGTTTAAAAAATGATTATTAGATGGAGTTTGGTTGTAGGGAGAGGCAGCTAGTTTTAAAAATTCTTAGGTGTGTATGTGTGTGCGTGCGTGTGTGTGTGTGGTGTGTGTGTGGTTTGTGCATGTGTGTTTGTGTACATATTTGTACATGTGTCTTTGTGTTTATCACCATTTTTCGAAACACTGACATAACACAATGAAAAAAATGTCACTACAGAACAAAGGAGTTTAAAGGAAGAAAGATTTGGAAGCCCACACCATCAGACTAATAGGGGGGATTGGAGAAGAAACAGACCCCCATTAAAATTTTTCCTCTTCAAAGATGATCTAAGATAATAGACTATAATATGTATTGTTATTGCCGTATGTGTGAAAATGTTGTTTTCTCTATAATAAAACGTTAAATATTATTTGCAGATTTTTGTATTTTTCAAATTAAAAAAATTTGTTTAACTTCAAATTCAAATTTTCCGAAAAAATTTCACTTAATCGATTTTGAAGTCCATAAACTTTAAACAACTAAAATCGCACAAGCAAAAAAACTAAAGGCAATAATAAATTTATTTATTTAAAAATATTAATTCACCAAAATTTAAATAAATGTCAGAAAACAACAGATACTAGGTTGGGAAACGGTTTGTTGTTAGATTTTTAAACAATTTTCCAACATTCTTCGAATGAAGAAGAATAACGCATTCGTTTGATTGTTGCCAAATTAACATCTCTTCTGAGGAATTTTTAATGAAAAAACTTGCCATGTTACTCCTGGACCGCAGTTACAAAGTGATTTCAAAATTGTAAAATCATTTAAATGCTCAGACAGATTATATACATCACCACAAAAATCATTTTACAAAAATATACTAACCAGGCAGATTTAACCTAAATATATTTGACAAAATCCTCCAAAAAGCTGGGAGAAAACGGGACTGATATATAAAAAAATTCTGGATTTGACACAAAATTACAGAATCATCTACCTTCTACTCTTTATCAACTTGATAATTATTTTAAACTTTAGAAAATCTCAAAACGAACCTACTTAAAAAAGTAGGTACTTACTTTATGTTCTTGTGTAGCCATATTTTTATATGTTCTTGTGTAGACATATTCTATTTCGTTTTATTTGTAGTTAATAAAAAAAACTCTTTACCTATGATTTTATAATAATGGCTATATTTGTTATATTGCGGTGCTGTTGTTTTAGAAATACCAAACTTTTTTCCCTATTTCAACTTAATTATTAATTAATTTTATATTCATAATCGCATGTTTCACTCGTTCATACGTTTATTATCAGAAGAATTTAGATAAAATAAATTTGAATTTATGAATAAATGTTGAATTTTAGTTCAGTGAAAAGCCAAAAAGGTATGCACAAAAAATAATTTAGGCAAAAAAAATAATATATGCAAAAAATGTTGCTATCTTTCATGTTTCCCTCTTTCATTTCAAACCTTTCAGGATGAAAGCCTGCAGTCGGGAAACGACCGAATCTGTGAACGGTTTTTGTAAAATTTTTAAATAACTTCTCCGAACTGCGTATTGAGTGAGAAATTTTTACAAAATAGTAAAAAATACACTTGAAATGAGTAGTCCTAAATATATTTCATTCACAAAACTCAATATTTTAGTAAATTTTATTCAACCGATCTAAAATACTATTTTAAAATGGCAGAACAGACATCTGATAATTGCATTAAAATGTTCTATAGTAGTAATTAACTAACAGTGCATTTAGTCACCTAATTAGCATAAACTGCTATATCTAATCAACATAATATCATCAACCAATCTACTTAACATAATTTATGCAGGCTATACTTACCAGGCCACAAATTTAGCCAGGGCCGCGAATACCAAGGACGTGCCAAGGAAGGTTGAAGCAAATTTCGATTCCTGGCCTAAAGTCAGATGTGATTTGAGAAATGAGGTATGAATAATTATATCTACAAAAATAATTTATGTGTGTGTGTGTGTGTGTGCAAGTGCGTGTGTGTGTATCCGTGTGCGTGTTTGTGTGTATCTGTGTGCGTGTTTGTGTGTGTGTGTGAGTTATATTGTTTAGTGTGTTTAAATAAGCATTTGATATATTTAAACGCAAATAAAAATTGTTAATATTAACGATCAATACACAACTTTATCATTCATTCGTTCGTTCGTTTATTTATTCATCCATCAATTCATACATTAATTCATACATTAATTAATTAATTTATTTATTCATTCATTCATTCATTCATTTTTGAATAAAAAAAATTTTCAGTAAATCACCGCTGGTAGCTGTTAAAACGAAATCATAAAAATTCAAAATTAATATAATTTGTACAGAGGAAAAATAACAATTTTTCAATAAAAATTCAGTGGCCTATCTATGACGACACACGCCCATGTGGCGTCCACTATTAATTTGTACCATGTAGTGTTGGTTTGATCTAGAGGTGTGCCTAATGTACCTGTATATGCCCAGGTGTGTGTGTGTGTGTGTGTGTGTGTGGTGTGTGTGTGTGTGTGTGATATGTAGTATATATGTATGTGTACTATACTTCAATTCCTATGTTTGTCTAATTCAATGGAGGATAATTCTTGACAATTCTTTCCTAATAACTTAGTTAGCATAGTTGAAAAAATATGAAAAATTTTAAAACTCATTAAATTACGAACTTGTTAACTTTAATAATTTAATTAGAAACTTAACTAGTATGAGAACATTGAAAATTATGTTATGTGTTAAGATTTGTGAAAAAAATGTTATTAAACACAATAAACAAATTTGCGCATGCGCCTATGTAACCTTTTTGAAGAAAATTTTGAAAAACTAAGCTCTCAACTAACTGACTGAAAATACATTCAACATATTTATTATTATTAAAAAATCTATTTCTAAAAATTTTATGAAACAATTTTGAAAAATAAAATAAAGTGTATGTAGTAGAGAAAAGACAAACCGCCCCAAATCCAAATTTCTAATGACAAACAGCAAACATGCCACAATCGAAAGTGAATCAAACGCTAGAGTAGGGGGTTTGCAGTAACTTTGTGTGTGTGTGTGCGTGTGTGTGTGTGTGTGCGTCGTGAAACACTCAAAACAGGACCGAAAATTAAGATTGCAAAACCACAACAAGTACAGCAGTAACAACCAACTAATATACTCGAACCGAGGAATTTGAAAATTAAATCATTTTTATCGATTTGCAAGATACACCGCAGATCAACAGCAAAACACACACACGCACGCACACAAACACACACACAAACACGCACACACAAACACGCACACACAAACACGCACACACAACGAACACCACAAAAACCTTCAGGCGTATGATCATCATCTGGTTTGGGTGGCGGAGCTGGGCCTGGACCTGGACCTGGACCTGGTGCTTAATATTTAGTTTTTATAAATAAACTTCAATTACAAAAAATATGTATTTATTAATATATTTAACATGCACACCACACACACGCGCGCGCGCGCGTCCACACACGCACACAATACAAACACACGTAAAAATGAATATTACTAAAATAAAAAAATAGTTGAATATAATGGGAAACAGTGTGAAAGACGGATTTTAAAATGTAAATTGGACGGCTTTATTTGCTAACATTAACAGTAGTGTAATGGTCTAGTGGCTAAGATGCCTGACATTGCTATTTTAGTAACCGGGTTTGAGTACAAAGAGATCACCGTTCGTTTGTATTCATACTGCCATTTAGGATTATATGCATTTGCACGCACGGCACTCTGTTTGTTGTTGGTTTCTCTGAGGAAGACAAAACGCTAACCAGAAAATTGAATTTAAAAAACATATATATCTATAATAGGAGTCCACCATAGTGACACTGATACTGAGTTTTCGCATTCAATCTTGGCCTGAAACGAAATGAAAAGGAAGAAAATATTTGGAGTTACAGGTACCTGGCTTGGCGGTTGGTTGTCCTGACTTTGTCGTGGTGGGCTGGCCTCCTGTCCCCATAGTTTTATTAATTCATATTAAATTTCAGATGAATAAAATATAATTTGATTAAATATTTAACAAGAGGCGCAGCCAAGAGGAGACTTTTGGTGTTGGAACCCCAACACGGCAAACATTTTAACCGGGGTTAATGCTGCGCCTAACTAAATTTCTATGTAATTTTTAAAGTTTTGGTTTACAACTTCTTCAGCCCTTCAAAATGTTTTGCCGGATTTGAATAAAAAAAAGGGCTAGTTCCGATATGGAAATCATGAAAAAATAAAATTTTGAACAGGCAAAATGGGGTTACCGACAATTTTTTGTTTAAATTTTTGCCAACAGAAAATTTCTGGCTACGACGCTGTGTTTAACTCCCATATCCGCACGCACACACACACACACACGCACACGCACCTATACACACGCACGCACCTACACACACACGCACGCACACACACGCATGACTTAAACAAAACACCTCAAACATTCAAACGTTGTTAATACAAACAAACATAAAACGTTAATAACTGCAAAGACGCAGTTACGGGCCTGACCTTTCGTCATCATTGACGGGTTGGTAGGAACCTGGGGCCCTGTCAAACCATCTATGCGACGCTGCATCGTCGTGGCCGTCATATTCTGCGCACTGGCAGTCACTGTTGATTTATATGATTTATTCATTCGTTCGTTCATTCGTTCGTTCGTTCGTTTGTTCGTCCGTTTGTTTACTCGTTCGTTCACTTATTCATTCGTCAGTCGTTTGCTTATTCGCTCGTTCATTCATTCATTCATTCATTCATTCAATCATTCATTCATTCATTCATACATTCATTCATTCATTCGTTTGTTTGTTTATTTATTTATCCATTAATTCATTCATTAATTTATTCACCTATTTTAGATACATAATAATATTCTTATTCATTAAAAAATTATATTCCCTCTATAATAATACTCATCGATATATGTGAAAAATTTCACTATCAAATAAGTCCCAAAGTTAAGGGTCATTCATTTCATTTTGCATCATCCTACCTTTAAAAGTAAAGACAAAGCAAAATTGAATTTGTAATCCACTAAATTTGCACATAATTATTTATTAAATGACGAATTAAATGATAATTTAATTTATCTAATTAATTTTTTCATCAAATTTATTAAATTAAAAACTAATTAAACCATCATGGCAATCTTACGAAACAAGAGCAGCAGGACTAGCAAGCCAACGAGTGGCAGCTGGTGGCTTGGGAAGAACATTTCTCCTAGTAGGAAACTTTTTGAAAAATTTAACGAATCTCAGCTATAATATTGTGTACTACTTGTTATTGTTTGAAAGTTAGTTGTTTATAATGACGTCATCCCGCTCTTATGACGTTAATTTTATGAAAAGTTTTCATATACCGTTTAACTCTTTTCCATAGAAATTTCGCTGTTGAAAACAATGCTGCCATTATACAATGTTGTTTCGATAATGTTTTAAATTAAATGTGTGTCATTGATTAATATTCTGTTAATATCTTCAGGTCCTAACACTATCCAGTTTTTCCATATTCGCATATGTTCGCCTCAACTCAAACAGAATGGAATGAGTTTTTTAATCTAGGAAAAAATATTGCAGATTACTTTTTAACTAATTTTTTTTTAAGATTTTATATTTTGATGGGATACGACTTTTCTCAGATTTCATATTTTGGTGGATGAAATATTAAAAAAAATGTACAACCATTTAGTATTCGTTTATTATTTTCGATGAATTTCAATTCGTAGCGAACAAGATAATCAATCCTGACACTATTCAACTCTTCGTCATTCATCTTTTAATTTATTCGGTTAACAAGTTGTGCCTTCGTTTATAACTGCATCTAAAAACAATGGACAACCAAAAGTAATTAAGTCAGCGTTCTATACTCTATAGAACAAATACAGAATATGCCTTTTGTAATCATGAAGACAATAAATACATAGATTACATAATATCTTCCTAGATAAATTATTGTCAAACAATTGAGTTATCAATCTTTTTTATCAATAAAAAATTTATTTGATCAAGCCTAAATACAGATTTTTATTCAACAAAATAAGTAGCTATATGTCTAACATTTATCAAGTTAACCAGACGGTAAACCACAAAGCCAAACATGTGCTGAATATTTGGTTATTTCCAAAAACCAATCAACAAATAAATCAACCAACCAATTAACTAACCAGTCAACCAACCAATCAACTAATCAATCAACCAATCAATCAACAAACCAATCAGCTAACCACCTAATTAATTAACACACCAACAAATCAACCAACCAGTCAACTAACAAATCGACAGATTAATCAACTAGCCAGTCAACCAACCAGCTAATGAATCGACTCAGCGATGCATGACCAACGACTCGAAGTTAGAATGTTGACTTTCGGCGTGACGACGCATGTCGACTTTGCGTTGGAAAGTTCTGGAACAGAGTTGGCAAGCGAAAGGTTTGTAGCCGGAGTGCTTACGACTGTGGGTGATCAAGTTCGACGACTGACTGAAACTTTTACCGCAGTGATGACACACGTACGGTTTCTCACCTGTTTGTTGATTGAATAAATTTCATAAATTTACCATTAAAATTTTATAATTAAGCAAGTCATTTTTTTTTGGTCTTCATTGTGCAACTCTGACAGGCCAAACGCACGGCTATTATTTATCCACATATCATTCTTTACTTACAAATGGACTTTCGCGCACCAAAAATAAACTGCATTGTCGTACACACACTCTCTTATTTGTATGCCGACACAAAGCAAGGTGTGTCTGCCGGTAGTTTTTAAGTTTTGGGCATATAGTATTCGAACCGGCCAAGGCACAATTGCAACTAAGCGAAAAGTGGCACTTCTCTCTGATCTAACTCCTAATATAATTATTTATAATTATAATATAATATAATAATTATGCTTGACATTAATTATATTATAGTTTCATAATATATTATATTATAGTTTCATTCATAAAAATAGTTCAATAATTTATTATATTATAGTTTCATTCATAATAACCTGTATGCGTGTATGTGTGTTTCTTCATGTCTGACTTCTGGTGGAATTTCTTCCCGCAATACTGACAAGGATAGGGTCTTGAGTCAGAATGAATGAGCATATGTGTTGATAACGTTGAAGATCTGGAAATAATATTTTAGTAGTATATTTATTATTATTAATTATTTCATTATAGCAATAATAATAATTGTTATTAGTAGTAATAGTAGTAGTAATCAGTAGTAGTAGTAGTAGTAGTAGTAGTAGTAATCAGTAGTAGTAGTAGTAGTAGTAGTAGTAGTAGTAGTAGTAGTGGTAGTAGTAGTAGTAGTAGTAGTAGTAGTAGTAGTAGTAGTAGTGGTGGTAGTAATAGTTGCATTAGTAACATAATACTTTTTTTACTAGTAGTTAATATTGTAATCGCAACCGTAACAGTAAACGTAGTAGTAGCAGTAGTAGTAGTGGTAGTAGTAGTAGTAGTAGTAGCGGTGGTAGTTGTTGTTGTTAATGTTGTAGCAGTAGCAATAGTTCGAGTAGCAGCAGTAGTATTAGTAGTTGTAGTAGCAATTGAATTTTTGGAAAATAAAATTTTATTTGGTTGTCTAAACAAAAAGAAATCGGAAATACCTTTTAAAAGACTTTCCACACTGCTTGCATTCAAATGTTCTTTCATTCTTACAAGATTCGCTCAAGAATGAAGTCTGACATTCAACAAGTGATGCCCCGTGATAAATCGACTTCGGCTCGGATCCGAAGTAATTCGTTTTATTCGGATCGGCGGATACGTGTTTCCTATTGCAAAACAGGAATGGGCTTATGAGGGATAGGTAGGGAAAGAGTGACGACACGTTGGAAAGTTTCAGCGAAGGTAGTGTTGGTGCGTGGTAGAAATTATTAGATGTGTGTAGATTGCTTGTGAATGGTGATAGCAATGATGCTGGCGTTGGTAGCGATAATGATGGCGATGATATCGACAATGTCGGTTTCGGATCAGGGTAAGAAGATACCGATATATTCGGACCATTCCCACTGACCTTCGACGCTCTTTCTAGGTTATTCATTTTAAAAATATTTCATCTTAGTTAACGAATATTCAAATATAAATATCAAAAAGATGAAGTTATAATTCAACATTTTTTTGAGTGCTATTGAAAAAAATTCAAGTCGCAACTTTCAAATACTTCCATAAACACTGAGTATATACGTTTATTTTTTTAATCAAGTCATAACAAATAAAATCTGTAGCAACCTTAATCTATGCCAAAAAATTGTAATTTTAAAATTTGTTCACTCATTCATTTAGATGTCATTACTGCACTTTAAAAGCAGTTTAACTCCATTTTGTCATTCATGACTTATGAATCATTTAGCTTGAAAGATTTTTTCAAAAAAAAAAAATTATGGCGACAAGTTCAAATGAAAACAGTTTTATCATTATTATTTTAATTTATAATTTTATAAACATGTATTCAGTGGCGGATCAAGACAACTTTGACGAGCGGCGCCGAAAATTTGTATATCTTCAAACATTCACGCATGACCAAAATTTGTAATAGTGCGGCTGACGTTTTTTGCTCATCACATTCATTTTTTGGTCGGTTTTAGACACAAAACGTTCCTTTATCTGACTTCTATTAAAAAGCAGTTCCCTCTTAGATCCGCCAATGTATGTATTATGTTTAATTGTTATTTAAAAGTATGAAATCTAGGAAATAGATTAGGGAACAGTTGCAAACCTGAGTTGAGTAGGTAGAGTGTTTCGGCATCTTTTCCTGGGCTCCATAGCTTCTGCTTAGAAAACGTACCGTCCGTTATATTTTTATGAAACATTTGCTATAAATTAATTTTCCTTTCAAATAATAATTAATTAACTCATTATTATTATTTTATCTATTTTTATATGGAATTAATGTTGCTGTTTCATTATTTTAAAATGAATATTAGATAAATTGCTGCAATTGGAATATTATAGCGGATGATTTTTTGGTCGGTGGTTAAGTTTTTGTAGTTTGTCTGATGATGAGATTGCCTTTCAAATGAACAAGGTGGACTTCCTGAAACCAGGGCGCGCTGATTTGTGAAATCTCTCTTCTAGTTCTTTACTGATTTTAAGATAAAATTTTTTGAAAAAAGGTCTAAATTTTCGCATATAAAATATCTTCAGTTGATACGCTACTAAAAATTATGTTTTCTTCAACTGTTTATTAAAGAAAATGTATAAAAATCTAAAAATCTTAGCTCAAAATCACATTTCACGCTTACAAATCCGGATGATCTGAATTCTTATTGGCCAGCGCTAACATCACTCACGAGTTGATTTGATGGCCGGCATCCAATCAGGTTGCGTCATTTGTGAATACCATATGCTTTATTTTAAAAATTTTGTATTATTTTGTTCTTTCGTGGTTTATTTTTTGAGTTTAATTTCTTTTTTCAACGCACGTTTGTGGCGTGCTTGGTGACTTTTAAGACCTTTCATTTTATTGTTTAATCGAATTGATTTGACTGTTAATGAAGGCTCTGTGTGGATGGGCTTCATTACTCTTTCGTTCATTTCGTTCAATTGTTCTTATTTGAATTCAAAATTTCATTCAATTTCAAGTATCGAGTCAATATCAAATACGACTTGATAAGCTCGACAAATAACTTCTGAACAACTGAACATTACCCCAAACTGCAAAATAGATTGATATTTGAATACTTATACGAAATTTTTTTTCAATGAAAAGTCAAATGCCTTGACTTTAGAACGTTTACAATGTAGAGACAGACAGACAAAGAGAAGACTGAACTGTTTACAGTCTCGTGATTAGATGCAATAGAATTAATGACGTAACGACTAGATGGTCATGAATAACGCGATAACGTGTTAACATCTGGTCAGTCAGCAAAAGTGGACAGAGCTCATTCAACTCTACAACAAATAACATAGCTCATTTTATTCTTTTTCTTATTCTTTGTTTTGTCTTTTTTTCATTTCTCTTCTAATATTTTTACTTTTTTTGATATATTAATATTTCAAGTTGTTTTACATATTGTTACGATGTATAACTTTAACCTACGTATGTTATGTTAAAACCGTCTGCTCTTATTAACTATTGAAATATATTAATCTCTTTTGTGTATTTAATTTCGCAAATGTGAAAAATTTGCCAACAGAAATATTTAAAGTATTAATTTTTATCTCTTAACTACTAGCTAAGTATTAAACAGCGCATTAAAATGAAAACAATTAAACTAAAATAATTCATCCTATTAAAAAAAAAAAAAAAAAAAAAAAAAAAAAAACACGGCGCGATCTTTTTTCTTCCTTTGTCGCGAAGAACACGCGAGAGATAGACGTGAAGGAGATTGTATTTGGCTTTTTGCACTTTACACGGCACGTAACCAAGTCACATTTTACGTGCCATATCTCAGGTTTATGCGTTTTTCGCGGCAATTTTTTCGCGCTCATTACTTTTTTTACACCCCTTTCGCATTCTCATAATTCATCAGGCACTAAATAAGCCAGAATATGGAGTTAACTGCATTTTTCTTAAATAATAAACTAAATTAAATAGGTTGTTTAGTACAATGCAGTCAACTCCATAGTCTGGCTGATTTAGTGCATGATGAATTATGAGAATGTGAAAGGGTGTAAAAAAAAGTAAAAAAAATTGATTAGAGATGATTTGTTTTGTGTGTTATTTCCATGTTGAATAAGTTTTTTTTACCAGTATTGTTAGTGAACTTTGGAATATCATATTTTTATCTTTAAGGTTCTCATTCGGAAAATTATTACAGAATAAAGTGCGTGCTATACATTAGGTATTGAAGTTTTATAATGTGCGTGCGTACGTGCGCGTGTGTGTGTGTGTGCGTGCGTTTAATGTGTATATATACATACATTCCAATGAAAATACAAAATCAAATTACAAAATATTTTTAAAACATTCAACTACATAAACAAATCTTATGTACTAACATTCGTACACACACACAAACACACACACACATATATATATATATATATATACATATGCAACTATGCATTTATACAACCAACCATTATAGAAGCTTATTGAGTTTTCACTGTTTTACCGCCGCATCAACGCTTTATGAATTATAAATTTACTGGCGACGATGATGATGATGACGATGATGTTGATGATTATGATAATGATGCTGGTATTTCTGACAATGACAACGATTTAGATAATGATAATGTTGATATGATGTTAACTGATGATGCTATGATGTGGATAATTTACGTGATGTGACGAAATGTTGATGACGATGATGATGAGGATGATGATGATGGTCGTTGATGAGCAGAATGAACATGCTTCGCTTTATAAATGCATGTGTAAAACGATTTGTGTGATAAATACACTTTTGTGTTTTCGTAATTCATTCATTCATCCATTCATTCATTTAATCATTCATTCAATCGTTTGTTCGTTCACTCGTTTGTTTGTTCGCTCGTTTGTACGTTCACTTATTTTTTCTTTCTTTTAATTATTCATTTTACAATTTAAAAACCAATTAAAACTCAAAATGCCAAAAACTCGGCAACCTCTCTTGGGAAATAAACAAATCCAAACATCAGCAATACTTCCATGAATTATTTATCATGTTTCTCTAATGAACCTGGGATGGGAAAAGATGATAAGAGAGGAGAGAGAGAGAGAGAGAGAGAGAGAGAGAGAGAGAATGTTTACACATATGTGTGTGTGAATTTTATTTATATACATATATTTAGGTTCGCGTGCATACGTACGTATATGCAACAGTACACACACATACACACATACATGCAAACATACATTCGCATATATACATATACTAACTCATATTCATTCAAACACATACACATACTTACGCACATACAAACACATTCATATACACACATATATATATACACACACACACGCATAAATACATAGTAATTACTCCTTTTGACGCATTAAGTCGTTGTGTTCAGCACAAAAGTGCATATAATCTGATTTATACATAAATACCCTACAAAACATACACACACACGTGAATGGATACGCGTATATACTGTACAACGTATTCGAATAAACAAGTAATTGTACAGACATACGTACACGCAATTAAATACGCACAAACCTAACACATATATGAATATGAAATAACGACGTCGTGTGCACGTGTGTATGTAGCGTGTGTGTGTGTGTGGATGTGTGTGTGTGCGTGTATGTGTGTGCGTGTGCAAGTGCACAGTAGTTTGAAATTATAAGCAATCAAATGACCTCAGGATGAAAGAGTTGTTGCACAACAGAGTCATTATCATTATCTCTCTCTCTTTCTTTCTCTCTCTTTCTCTCTCTCTCTCTCTTTCTTTCTCTCTCTTTCTCTCTTTCCATCTCTTCCTTGTCCTTGTTTAACTCATCTACACGCCAATTCGTTATAAAAAGAAAAGAACGAATGATTTAAAATTTCATAACATATGCCATGTTCGGTTTTTGTTGCTATGAATAGAAATTCTCTTGTAACGTTAAACCATATCATGTACCGTAGAAAAAGACTACCTATACACATGATAAGATTCATTAATAAGTCATCCGACTGAAGAAGATGTGTATTAAAATGATGGTTCGATCTAAAAATATAGTCACACACACACAAACAAACACACACAGGAAAAAAACAAACACGCGCGCGCGCACACATACATCACATCTATACACTCCACGCACATACACACACGCATACACGCACGCACTTAGAATATTAATTTCATCATCAGACAAATGCTTTTTCTTTAAAAAATTATCACAAAGTTTAAAAGAGGCATCTTAGTCGAAGGCAATAAACTGTTAAATTGGTCGTCCTGTGTTATTTAAAAATCAAAAACCATAACAAATGATTAAAATTATAATCATTATGATAATAATTAACTCTTTCTTAATTAATTTTCAGAAGTATTAACAACACACACACACACACCACACACACACACACACACTCATACATACACACACACGCACACACATTGCATGTGACTGATGTGGATCTATTTGCGTTGGAAAGCAGAGTGTGCAACAGATCGTACAGCCACCCAAGTTTGAGTAGGATAAACTTGAAAGATTACACTAAATTTCCACCACGGTGCACAACAATGTCACACAGATCTTTAAATTATTATTCTAACAAATCAATGTTACAGACTATCGCATAGCTGAAACTTTCCTGGCACAAGAGTCAACCTCTTTCCAATGTATGCATACATAGATACAAATACACATGTGTATTTGTCAAATACACATGTGTATTTGTATAAGTGTATCTATTGTTTTGTTAACTTCTTTCCTATGTATACATACATAGATTCAAACACACACACATGATGTGTGTGCATATGTATAAATGCTATCAATAAAATATTTATATAGCGCTTTCTATAAACGAAGTTTCTCAAAAACTGCTTTTAGATAATTTCACAATCAATTTAATCAAAATATCACTCAATGCAATGTAGCTATATGCTGCTTTTTTCCTCTACTTTGTATAATTACGCACAAATTTAGATACTAAACTTATAATTAATGACTCAAATATCCCCGAAGAATTAATTTTCATCGACTACTTCATAGCGAACACACACACGTACAAAACGCGCGCGCACGCACACATACACGCACACTAGATAGATAATATGAAGACGGTTGATCTTCAGACAACATATGCTTAAGCTGCCATTTAACATTTCCAGTGAATGTGCGTGTGTACGTGCAATGAGACACTCATACACACAAAAATGAATAACTATACTCATATGTGTTGGCTGTTGGTATGTGCGTTAAAGCAATACAGGTTTACTCATTAAGTCATTCGTTTATGCATTCATTCCATATCTATCCATTCATTCACTCCACATTTATCCATTCATTCATTCATTTTCTCACTCAGTCACTCACTCACTCACATAAATCAGTTAATGAAGTTTCAATTGAATTAGCTGGCGACTGATGCCTGCCTCCACTGTCTCCAAGGTGTTCCGCCCACTCTAACTCCTCCACACAGACACACGTTCAACTGGACACAAGCGACACATGTGTGGCTGGCTACTGCTGCCTTGTTTTGTTTCACGTGCTGCTTTTGCTCTTGCGTGAATGTGTGTGTGCGTGTGTCGTTGTGCTGTGTGGTCATGAGTATGCGGTGTTGTTTTGTTGTTGTGTTCTCTTCTCTCATATAAAGTTAATTGTATAACATGCGTTTATTTCTAATATGCTTCTAACATTATTACCTATTTTTTTTAAACAGCAGTAGTAGTAGTTGCAGTAGTAGTAGTAGTAGCAGTAGTAGTAGTAGTAGAAGTAGAAGTAGTAGTAGTAATAGTAGTGATGCTTTTACATTTTGAGACCTATCCTATAGATAATTTTTCAAGTTAGTTTTTTTTATATCGAAACAAAGAAGAATAAATCCAAAAACAAAGTAAGACACATACGATCGAACCAATTTTTAAAAAAATAAATTAACTAGCTGACGAAGTAATTAATCCCCAATAATTAATTAAACATCGTATCGACTTAAACAAAAAGATTAATTAATATAAATACATAAAATAACAATCAGTTAATTAATTAATTAATTAATCAATTCATTCAATCGTTTTTTCTATCTTTCATCATTCTAAAATCAATAAAATGTCAAGTATTTCTTCAAAGCCTTAAATGAACATTCCACGCACTTGAAAATTTAATAATAATAATGTCTATAGTTCATCGTTAATAATAATAATAATATTATTATTATTAATTATTGTTATTATTATTATTATTATAAAATTTAAATCACAGACAGAAAAATCGGTTTGGAAGACAAATACAAAAATCAACAAACAAAACCAACACAGACAGATAACCACAGAGGGAGAGAGTGAGTGAGAGAGAGAGAGAGAGAAAGAGAGAGAGAGAGAGAGATAAGACCAGTACTAAGACATACAGACGCATAAACGCGCAGACAAACAGACAAACAAACACGCAGTTAGACATACAGATCATACAGACAGACAGAAAGAAAGATGTTTAAGAATAATGCACTTTGATAAAAACAAGTTTGGAATGGATATAAATGCCCAACCATAATAACAAAAACGACAACTATATTTAACAGCAATAACAACAACAATAATAATAATAATGGTAATAATAATAATCATCATCAAAAGTAATATTACAAACAATATTATTTATTAATTATAATAATAATAAACAAAACCGTATTGCATTTCACCATCCCATCATCAAGTGTTATACAATGTATATTTACAATTTCTCAATAATTAATTATATATATATATTATAAGAAACTATATTATATATATATATATATATATATATATATATATATATATATTTGTGTAATTTGGTCATAATAAAAAAATATATAATAATAAATTAATAACTTTTTTTCTAAGAGTTCTTTTTAAATGAACACAAATCGATTGAACTAAATTTAACCGGGAAATTTAATTATAACACACACGTCTCTCTCTCTCTCTCTCTCTCTCTCTATATATATATATATATATATACTTATTTATTTATAATACAATAGACAAGGCATTTTTAAATAAATGTAACGAAAAACTTGAAAAACTAAAAATATTTCTTGAAAACAATAACAAAAAATACTGTTCGATTGAAATCAATTAATTAATTCATTAATTAGTCAATTAATTAATTTATTAATTAATATAATGATGACAAGACAGTTAATGATAACAACAGTTCAATCAGTCGAGGAACAAATCAATCTGAACGGCTTTGTTGATTTAATGATATGAAAAATTAGCCAATTAAATTTAAAAAATCCAAACCGCGCCTAATTAATTGACCCAAACAATTCAATGAAGCAAATCATAATTACACTACACTTATGACGATTCAGATGAAATATTAATTAATTAAGCCATTTGTAATTCTTAAACTCTCAGACAATTTCAATAAATTCAATCAACCAATCAAATCCGTCCAAGCACACACTCAACCAATCAATAAATCTGATCAATTCGTCAATCAACCAGCCAGTCAATCATATCCGTCTAACAATTAATCAATCGACCAATCAAAATTAGTCGATTTTAGGAAGATACAGCAGCCTTAAAGCGCCTCTCAAGATGGAAGCCCCTGGTTCCATCTGGACCCTTCGGTGCTCTTATGCTCGTTATCCGGGGTGGAATCATTTCATCGTTTCTCAATCTCGAGACTATCCGATCGGGTCGCGGATGTTTGTCGGTCCTTTTGAAATGTAGTTTGGTTTGAGATGGTTAATTTTAACGGTAACTAACTGACTAAATGACTAACCAACCCAGCCAACCAGCCAAATAACCGCCAATCAATCAATCGATCAACCAACCAACAAACTAACATACTGAGTAAACATGTACTGTACACAACACATGGATAGCAATGTACACACATAAAAAACAACTAGAAAATTGGCAACACACACACACACACATACACATACACACACACAAAAACTCAAACACAACGCACACACATCGAAGATAACATCAACAACAATAAAAATAATAACAACAACAACAAACCGACCTACCTAACTTTATGCAGACCCATAGCCGTGAACCTATTGTTCTTCGTGACCCCTACGAACTCGATGAGGTCTCCCACCTGGAGTGATGACGTTGCTGCGGTTGACGTTGTTGTTACTGACGACGACGGCGATGACGTGTCAGAGATGATGACGTCAGAGAGGAAGAACATCAGCTTGCTTCCGTCGTTCATCTCAAAGTTCAATGTGCCGAGCTGTGATAGAAATGTCACACACAGTGCAATAAAACTATACAATGAAAAGCAATACCAAACTAGTACAATACCAGCACAATCGTAATACACAATAGAAAAAGAGAACTAAAGCAACCGACACCAACCTGTCCCTTGATGGACTCCACCCTGGCATGCAGGCATCTCTTCACTGAGACCACCATACCGGCCTGCTGGAACTTATCATGCTGCTGCTGATGCTGGTAGGATACTATTGAACTGCTGCTGTTGTTTGTTCCGACGATCGATTGCTGACATCTCAACGGCTGGAAGCGTACGATTTCGCCTAGACTAGGGACATCACGTCTATCGATGAGACTGCAGAATCTGAATGAATATAAAGTACTCGTGCCACTGAACAGATGCTGCTGCTGCTGTTGTAGCTGGAGTTGTGTCTGCTGCTGCTGCTGCTGTAACGAACCACTGACCATGCTGCAGTCTGAATTGTTGTTACCCGTAGTTTGGTGGCTGTTGTAGTTCGTGTTGACAGAATCATTTGACGAGGAGGACAAGCCGTTACTGGCCGAGTGGACGCCATTCGTTGATGCGACCGTCGTCGTGTGGCTGCTCACGTCACCGTTCATGGTCGTCGGCGAGTTAACCGATGTGCCGACTAATGAATTGTACGTGGCCGATGAGGATGGCGACGATGACGATTTTTCGTTGAGAGGCTGGATGAGGCCGAAGTAGTTGTTGGAGTGGCAGTCGGACAGACTGTTGATGCAGCGGACCACCTTTCCTTCTAATATGATTGGCAGGCAGGGCTTCAGTGCAAACAATTTACTCTTTATCAATTTTAATCAAAATAAAACAATTCTTCAAACAATAGTCGCACTATGAGAAAGGTCACCAGACAAACTGATACAATAAACTATGAGTAAACTTGACTCGAGGCCTACAAATTCTGCACAAACAAGAATGATAAGAAAATACTTGCATACAGTAAAGTACGCATACACGAACACACACACACACACACACACACACACACACACACACACACGCGCGCGCGCGCGCGCGTACCCACACGCACATACAAATTTGTACAATTTTAAAAAACCTCATGAGGTATTGTTCCTTCAGCAAGAAGACTTATGTTGTCGAATGTCTTGTTCGAGCTGACGAATTCAATCTCGTCACCCACCTTCAGCAGGTAGAACTTGGAGTTCAGTGTGCTGAAAAGTGAAAATTCAGGTCATCATTCTAAATATTTCATCCAATCATCCATCCTACAAGCAAACCAATACAAAT